GTATGTTACAAGCAGCGTGGACATCAGTCATCCCTCTTATGCCTCTAGGATGTCACATAGAAGCAGTCAGGCGGTATCGGATCTGACAGTCCACCTCCAAAACACTTCCATCTCCAAGGCTGAGGGTCGAGACAGAATAAAGAAAGGAGGCAAAGGCAGAGATTTTGTTTTCCTGAAGCATCTCTATGAACAAAATGGGCCCTGGACGTCTGTGAGAGGCAGCCACTGACAGATGATTCTGATTTAATATAGAATGAAACAAATCTGTGTAATCAACACCCTGTCAGGTGTTTTCTGCTGCCATTTTCTTCTGCAGTCAATACTTTACCATCTTAAAGGCCAGCTTAATCCCTCCTTATAAATGTGTTAGGATTTTGTAAAGTCAATTTAACAAGATATTAGAATTTTCATGTCTAAATCTCATTATACACAAGAAAACAAAGGGGACATGTTATGTCGTTAGTTCGGTGGTTGATACAAAACATGTTTCTGAGGTTCTTTGCACAAATCCCCTTTCACATAAAGAAATTTCAGCAGTTTTATTCTTGACATTTTCAGTACCTTCCAGAATGAACTGTTTCAGGGCTCCGCCATGCCCACAAATCCCCAAATCAGGCTGCTATAAGCTGAGAAGCTCCAATATCTCCGAGGAGCTCAACGTAGAGTTGCTGCACTTCGAGTAGCACCTCTCTCTCTCTTACGTGAGAGGTGGTTCTATGCTAATTTTCCCATTAGTGAAATCACAAATGGGGAATTTTTGAAACAACTCATTTTAAGCATAACACTCCTGAAGCAAAACACTTAAAATAAACCGATGGACAGATTTTCTTTCACGTTTAGAATGTTTATGGAGGAAGTAGATACCTACATGGCAGCACAAGAGGGTGCAAAAAATGAATTGTGCATAATAAGTCCTCTTTAAAAGTTCTTTTTGAAACTTGACACAAAAACAAAATGAAATGCAAAAACCTTAATCCTAGCACTTTTGTGTTGATAAATGATGGAGTTAAACACACACATGATCTATTGTGAATAAACCAGTTTCTGCCAAATTAAATGCTATTTCTGTATCTTTAAAATTGACAGATTTAAAGCAATTATTGTATTTTCAAGGGTCGATTAGCGGCGGTGGCCATCTTGAATTGGGTTTAGTCGAAAAATTAATTAGAGTTCTGAGAGTTTCAAGAAAAATTCTGTCTAGTCATTCGTATGATTTGTTTTACTGTAGCAGTCAGACAAAATAACACACCTTATATGCACAGAAACGGACAAAAACCTGCCTTTTGGCAATAGTGACCACTTAAAGTGTCACGATGGTCGACTGGGTACGGGAGTTGAACTCGGTAAGGATGTTTGACGTCTGGATTATTCGGTAGAGAACTCTGATCAGGGGTTTCAATGAAACGATGACTGAGTGAAGAGCCGGTGCGGCGTCTTCCATATATAGGCTTGGGTGTGACTGGGAGAATGCCGGGAGTTCCCGCGAGGAGCTTGCTGGGAAATGTGGTCCAAGATGGAGGCCGGTTAGCTAGGAGAGGCCGGTTTGGGGGCTTGGGTTCTGACATAAAGACCTGAATGTGCATAAAATCTGATGAATCTGTTAAATAACTTTTATGCATCACAGCCTAACCTAAACCAAATCATCAGTACTGCTACTTTTGAAGCTTCTAGTAGTATCAGATAAAATCACATACATGTACACACTTTACTTACGTGAAACATGTTTCAACTCGTTATTGTTTGTATTTAGGTAAAGGTCGGAGAAAAGCTTCACACGGGGATCTTTGTCTGCTTGCACGCTGTGCTCCCTTTTATTCAGGTTCATGCTTTCAGACGTTGACCTTAGCCTGCTCTATTAAAGAGTGGGCACACTTTCTGCTTTACGTCCAGATCATAGAGACCTTTCAGGAGAAATGCAAGTAGAATTAAAATCCTAGCGAGTAAGCTAATAACTAAAACATAAATAAATATTTTGTTGTGTAACAGATCATAGAAAAGTCAAAAGCGATCACCTTTACCGTCCAAAAGCATTAAAAAATCAGCTATTATTAATTAATCTGAGCAGATTTAGTGTTTTTTGAGCACAGAGAAGCATTTAGGGATGTTTTTAGCATCTTTTTTATTATTTTCACGAGTGCCCTGCTGTTGGGGTTAAGAGACACGTACATAAACACGTCTCTTTTTAGGGGTTGTGAAGTTCACAGATAAGAGATGGAAATTCATACAGCTAATTTGAGAAACCTTTCTGCTTACTTCTTAATTTTAGAGACACATTAACTGTCACTATTGGCCTAATGGTTTCCATAAAAGCATGATTATGGGCCATTATGGGTGAATACATCTAAAATTATGCGATCACCATTTAGAAACTCTCTCCTTTAGAGTTGGTGTCCTGGCGATGGTTAGAAAACAAATGTGTTGTTGATGTTTTTGCAAAAAGAAAATTGTTTTCGTTTCAGTTTCTGCGCCAGCTAGATTATTATCCTAAAATTCCCCTCAGGCGGAGTTCACTCGTATCGATTCCAGACTCTTGTGCAAATAGCTGAGCCTAATTTATTTTCACACCATCGTACATCAATTGGTAGGGTCTTAATTTTAAAAGGAGGAAATTAGCCGTTCTGTGTTGTTTTGGAATAACGTGGCCGAATAAATCCCCGCTTGTCCTCCCAGCTCATTGCTTTATTGCATGTTTTCCTTTTAGTGACGATTTGATCAACAAAAGGACATTTAGTTACCACGGTTTGTCTGCGTGGGCTGCAGTGCCACGTTTGTTATCAGCCTCTCTTGCTTCCTTCAGCCTGGGTTGTACCCGAGTGATCCAAGTTTCGGCTCTTGGCTGCGATCAGGCCAGTCGCAGCGAGCATCACGAGTCCCACTGGACACGACAGAAGTGTTCTGGTTCTCCTGCCAACACACTCCCACCCTGACCATCTGTAGACGAGCCTCTTCTCCTGCGACTCCCTGAGTTTCTCCTCTCTTCAGTAGGGCGCTGCTCCATCTGTCAGAGATGTCAGCACGACGGATAAATCGTTTTTTTGGATGACTCCATTTTCTTTCTCTCTTTTATTTTTTGTTTCTTTTCTTACGTTTCCGTTTCTATCTCCGTGCTCATTACAGACAAGAGGGAATTAACCTTCTAATTTAATGCCCCAGCTTAGAGAAGAGAGATTTTCTCACACAAGGCAAGGTTGGCTAATTTATATTTACATTCAGTCCAGGTTTTTTATCTTCTCTCTCTCTCTCTCTCTCTCTCTCTCTCTCTCTCTCTCTCTCTCTCTCTCACATTAAGATTTAAACACCCTCAGAAAGATCCTGCTATGATTTTTATTTAACCAAGTTTGCTAAGAGCAGGTCAGGACCAAGAACACCAGTTGGGTCATCGTCAATATCAAGATCTACTTAAACAAGCTTGGGCCTGCAGGGTGAAGGATTATAAAACTCTCCTCCGTTCAGGCGTAATAAGGCTTAAGAACAGTTCAGATAAAGTATAAAGATGTGATTGCAAAGCTAACGAACTCCATGGTTTGATGCAAAAAAAATGAACAAAATGTGATTTCTTTGGGGAAAAAAACTGAAAAAAGACAGAAAATACAAAATTATTTCTATAAAATACACTGAAGTTCAACTCCATCTTCTTACAGAGGCTGATTAGAAGTTTTATTTGAGATATTTTCTGCACTAACGCAACATACAGGCCTTCTTCTTCTGAGATCAGTCAAACAGCATGTGGTCGTCAGTGGGCTGACATGATGGATTTGGGACGCCCTCGGCATTAAAACAATCTGACAGTGAGTGCAGGGATGTCACTGTGATATTAAAAAGTGTATGGAAAGCAAAGTCAGACACAAAATATGCTAAAGGTTTCATTAAAAAAATCAAAGAGATGAAGGAGTTTGGCACAGCAGCATTTCTAAGAAAACGTATTTTTGGAGCAAATATAAAAAGTAAAGAGGAACATATGATTTATTTTATGTTTCAGTAGAAACTTTTATAACTTTACAAGACATCTTGTGATGAAAATGTCCGCTGGTGTCTGATTTGGCACCTGTGGGTTGCTGCTTGAGGCCTTTTGGAACCAATCATTTTGGGTTTGGAGTATGGTTTTTGGGAAACTTTGCTCTTTTGAGGACAGTCAAAATTTTTCATCACGGATATTGAGAGACTGCACGTGTCAAATAAATACGTGTTTAACATTCAAGGTGCTTTATTTGTCATTTTTACAAGAAAATATGGCATTTCCAGGCAATTTGGTACTTGTTTTGCAAAACGTCTTGAAAACCCTCTACAGTCTCCTGCTCAATTACAACATCTACATAAAAGATCAGCAAATAGATAAACTAAAAGAGGATAAGGAAGCAGAGAGGCATATGTAGAGAAAAATGAGAGATAAGATAGATGTGCGCCACTGATTTATTGAAAAAAACATCAAAGAGAAACGATCAGTGTCGTTGTCCTCACCTGTTGGGAGTTTTAATGCACCGTTTCGTTAAAAAGCTGCAGCTTCAGAATACCTTTGGAGATTAGTTACAGTTTGTTCTTTCACAGAAGCTTTAGCATCTAATCCTCCACGCTCAGCGGCTCTGGTAATCAAGTGTTTTGCCTATCAACTAGGTGTAAAGAAAAGCTTTCATTTCACACCTGAAAGGACGCTCTGCTGTAAAACGATGCTGTGTGTGTGTGTGTGTGTGTGTGTGTGTGTGTGTGTGTGTGTGTGTGTGTGTGTGTGTGTGTGTGTGTGTGTGTGTGTGTGTGTGTGTGTGTGTTGATCTATCTGCTCATAGGAAGATCTTGTAAAATCAATAAGGAAGCAGAAAGAAATGTGACTGTATGTATAGTTTAATTTGCAATATTGCATGTGGGAGGAAATTTGAGAAAGACTTTGTGCTTGTTAGTGATTACAGCAAGCTCAGACGTCTCACACACTGAGTTTTGTATGATTAATTGAAAATAAAACGGTATTCATGCAGGAAAATGACTCTGAGTTGGTGTTCCTTCTGCAGGGGGAGCTTCTGAGTCCGTGTCGCTGCAGCGGCTCGGTTCGCTGCACCCACCAGCCATGCCTCATCAAATGGATCAGTGAGAGAGGGTCCTGGGCCTGTGAGCTCTGCTACTACAAATATCAGGTCATCGCCATAAGCACCAAGAACCCGTTACAGGTAGAGCAAAAATAATAAAAAGCTCCAGATGTTTTCAAATGTTTGCAAGTCAGGGATTATTTGTCAAAAATGTAAACAAAACAAAAAAAAAACTGAGGAAATGAATGTTTTGCCTTGTCCCATTTATTCTCTGCTCTTCATGTCAAAACCTGTGTGGGATATCAAACATAAAACAATTTTCAGGAATCACACAGTCAAAGGCGCAACTAGTTTTGCTTTGATCCTAAACTGAGGGGGGAAATTAGGCTTTTTCAGTTACACAAGGTCTTTCCCTTTGATCCTTTTAAACAGAAAGATGGTGGGTTTTTTTTTGTTGTTGTCATTTTAGCTATGGTTGGTATGTCAGGGAGGTATGTGAAATTCAGATTTCTGCTTTAATGGTCCTCCACCTTAAGTTTCAGACTACACGTCTTTGTGTTTAATCAAAAGGAAGCTTCCTGGCTCATTACCATGAGCTGTTGCAGTTTAGAAGTGTGAACATAAAAATATAACCTTGCAGTAGTATATCCACACAGCAGGGCTCTAAGATCTTTAGAAAACCGTCAACTTGTAGAAACCTGGGTCAGAACCAAACAGGGTGAAGCTGCTATGGCTCAAACACTGAAATCTATACCTCCAAACTAATATATTCGTCCAAGATTGTTGTAACAGCAAGTTAACGCTAACATGAGGCAACTGATGCAAAATGAGACACGAAGTAAAAAGATAAACACTGTTAGCTTAGTTCAGTTGCAACAAAGCCAGGCCACCACCAGTCTGTGATTTCATAGCTTCCTTCAGCTCCCTCAAACTAGTGCAGGCCACGCCACCATAGCTCTTTGCTCCACCTCCAGAGACATTAGTGTCTTACTTTTACTTCCAGGCTCTGTCATCATGCCAACAGAAAAAGCAAGCTTCTTTTTTCCCAATTGTGCTTTTTATTGATGGTTGGGGAACTGGAAACCTAACTGCTAGCCTTTATATGAGCTATCAGCACAGCAAACGCCACCCTGACTGTTGCAGCTCCACCTTTCACTTGTTCCTACTCAAACCAAAAGCATTGTCTAAATGGTAAATGGTAAATGGCCTGTATTTGATATGGCGCCGTCTAGAGTCCTGGAACCCCCCAAGGCGCTTTACAACACAATCACTCATTCACCCATTCACACACACATTCACACGCTGATGGGGATGAGCTACGATGTAGCCACAGCTGCCCTGGGGCGCATTGACAGAGGCGAGGCTGCCGAGCACTGGCGCCACCGGTCCCTCCGACCACCACCAGCAGGCAACGTGAGTTAAGTGTCTTGCCCAAGGACACAACAACAGCGACAGACTGAGCGGGGCTCGAACCTGCCACCTTCCGATTACGGGGCGAGCACTTAACTCCTGTGCCACCGTCGCCCAAAAAATGTGTTTAGTGCAGTTTCTGGTAGAGGGCTGTCCGATGTGAAACTACTCAAGTTTCTGGCTCAGGAACCACTGACACCAGTTTGAAAGCAATAGCTTCAAGTGTTAAAACTCTTTGGTGTTACTTTAAAAGAGAAATATGATCAAATCTAGTCTGTAATTGTCATGTTCTGTGTCTCTGTGGTCCCCAGCCCCCTCCAGGTTCCCTCATGTGTCCCCTAATCTTCTGTGCCCCCCTGTTGGTCCCCAGCTTCTTCAGGCTTCCCTTTAGTCGCGTCACTTATCATTAGTTTATTTATCTTTAGTCTTTGCTCTACAGTGTTTAAAGTTCAGGTTATTTGAGTAGCTTTGGTTTAGGATTTAGATTTGGTTTTCTCCCCTGCTTATTTCTGCTTCTTCCCTCAGTTCATTAGTTCCACCTGTGCCCAATTCCCCACTCACCTGCTCCTCGTCTCCTATCACCCAGCCCTGTTTACATAACCCTGTCTATGTCTCAGTATTTGTCGGTCCATTGTCGTTCTGTTCCTCCTTGTGAAACTCTAGGTTTTGCTCATCAAAGAGCCTTTTTAAGCTTGGCTTCCTGCCCCTTCTTGGATTTTTGGACATTGACTCCTAATAAAGGATTTTACGTTTTACTACGCTCCTGCCTTGAGTCGTTCTGGGTTTCTGCATCTTGGGTCCTAACCTCCTCCTGGCTCACAACGTGACACTAATGTATGTTTTTGCAGTGGCAGGCCATTTCTCTGACTGTGATAGAGAAGGTCCAGATTGCAGCAGCCATCCTGGGCTCCCTGTTCCTCATGGCCAGCATCTCCTGGTTAGTTTGGTCGTCTTTCAGCCCGTCGGCTCGCTGGCAGCGCCAAGATCTGCTTTTCCAGATCTGCTACGGCATGTACGGCTTCATGGACGTTGTCTGCATTGGTGAGAGCTGCACACAAAACACTCACGTCAGGGTTTTCAAGGTTACACTCATTCATCTGCAGTTAATGGTTGAAAAGGAATATTGAGCGATTCTTTTTAATCCAGGTGCACTCAGCAGACAAAAGTAAACGTCACAAGTCTTTAGCAGAGTCTCTAATTTTACCTGAAAGCTGTCTGCAAATATTTGTGAATGCAGTGAACCAAATATACTATAGAAACTCAGTGTTAATCTATACAGCACAGTCAGCTGCTTCAGACCAGCATGGATGCTTTACTGGTTAGTAATTGATATGTTTAACTTTAAAAAGTTCAAAAATTACTTCAAGTTAAAGTTTTGACCTCCCTCAGATCTCATGAGACCAAATAAAACAAGAAGCACTGAAGCAATTTCAAGTGGGTGTTCAAAATAAGACAAAAAATAAAATTATTTGTGCTGTAGGAAAGCAGTCGCCATGTTTTGGCTCTCTGCATCAGATTAAGAAAACTCCAGCTTCCTCTGCAGCAGACAGCAGGGTGAGCGGAAGGGGAGATTGATTGTCTCCGGATTGGTGCAGAGGAAGGACAGTGCAGTCATTAAGTCGCCACTTTGCAGAGATTAACTTGTCACCTTTTGGATGCTGAGACCTGATTATCCAACAAAGGTAGAGCTGGAAAGAGGCAGAGCTGAAGGTTTTATAAGTAACACCTCACATCTGAGGACAATGTTGTGCTGTAGCTGTAAAATCCAATTCTTTATGAGTTATATTAAACTTTATTGTTTCTATTGATGGTAGTAACACTTTAGCACTTCCCATTTCACACTTATGGGTAATATAAACACATGTGATAGATTTTAAATGCATCTGCTGACAAGATGGGTGCTTTTTGCATTCATACTTTTAAACGTCACGTTTATGTTTGAGCACCCCGTTGCAAAGCCAATTAAAGTCTTACAGAAATCACAGAATGCACACTCATTTATCTTTATACAACTTTAATGCAGAATTGTTGCTTTTAGGTGCATGCAACTGTTGGTGCAGATTGGCTTCAATTTTCCAGATACTGAGTCCAGTAAACATGAATCAATAAGCAATTTTGGACTGAGATAAGATGTTATCGAACAGCTGCAGAGAACAAATGCATCGTTTTTGCAGACTTGAATCCAGAAATGGTGGTTGTTGTCTCATAAGCTGCTTCATGGCTTTGCTTTATCGAAGAAATAAAGATTTTATCTCTGCATTAATTGAAGTACATGAGAAATTAGTTGTTTTGTTTCTCCTCCTGGATCAGCTGATCCTTCTGCAGGCTTTAGGCCCGCGGACTGCTGAGGTATCACTCTGTAGCGGTGTTTAAAGTGACGGTTTGCATTTTTCTTGGCGATAGGGGGCAGTAGATGCTTAAATCATTACAGGCAAGCAGTATTTTTGTGTTGGAGTAAGACCTTACCAACAGATGCCCATTAGGGTCAAAAAGCCCTGGGGAGTGCAAACTTCAGCAAAATAACAAACACATTAGACTCCCTTTTATCACTGGCAACGAGTGAAGTGGTAAATGTGTAAAACAACATTTAAGAATGGTGAAAGTTTTGTAACTGTTTGAGTCAGTGAATGCATTTTGTCCTCACGGGCTCCCGTTCTAGGAAGCATGGCATCTAACATGGCGTCGCTCAGAGACTTGGACCACTTCCATGTACCGGTACTTTAGACCTGATTTTTATAGTTATGTTACAAAGCTGCCAATTTATTTTTATTTTTTCCAACAACTGGGCATCATTTCATTAATTTTAAACCACATGTTGATGGCTATTTCCAGAAATTAATGGTAAAAACTACACATTGTCTCTTTAAAGACCAGGTTTACTGAAGAAGAAAAACTTGTTTTTGGCATACGATGGATCACTCTTGAGTTTAACATGCAGGCTGAATGTGAAAATAGCCTTTTAAATTTGTTTGTATTTCCTGCATTAGCTGCTGATAGAAAATCAATGGGGATATGGTCAGGTCAGACAAACCCTCACAGGTTAATGTCACACTTTTAATTTGCATTCTTGGCTCATGACTGCGGAAAGCTGTTAAGTTTTGCAGCCAGGAGAGAACAGAGCGTGTCTTAGCTTGTGGAGTCGTGGTGGATGGCTGCTTATACTGAGCCAGGATCCTCTGGAGGTTTCTTCCTGTTAAAAGGGAGTTTTCCGCTCCACTGTCTCTAAATCCTTGCTTAGTATGAGGATTGCTGTAAAGGCACTGACACTAGTCAGTGACTTGATGCAATTAGCTGGGTTCCTTATTTAGGAAACTTTTTTCTGATTGGCTTAATGAACTGACCTGTATTGGAATGTTAACTATGTGAATGACTTGAGACGACTCTTGTTGTGATTTGGCGCTATATAAATAAACTTGAATTGAATATAAGCTAACCATTAGCAATAGTTTCTCCACACAGCAGAACTCTTTCAGTCTTGTGTTATTAGTGGAGATAAAACATCAATGTTGCAGAGGGAAGAGAGGCAGTGGAAGAGTTAGCCAATCACAGGACAGAATATTAATGGGTAAGACATCAAATCCTGCCCTTTTTCTGATCCCCACTCTGGCTATAACTTCAACTTCCTGAAACAGAAGTGCCAGAATGTTTTACTCACAGAACGACCACTGCTAATGTGTTGAATATATGAGTGAAAAGATGGTGACTTTGTCTTTCTGACACTCTTGTCCCAACAGCATTAATTGTCCACGAGGGACCTTCCGTGTTCCGTATCTTCCACCGGTGGCAGGCCGTGAACCAGCAGTGGAAGGTTCTGAACTATGACAAATCCATGGACAGCTATGACCTGAAGGCCACTGTGGACAGAACTCTATCTCAGCCCGGTCAGGGCTTCCAGACGGGGATCGGAGTCTCCACCTCCACCTCCTCGTTGATGGTGGTGGCCTCCACAGTTGACGACTCCACGTCTACAACCGTGGTGGCGGCAGCAGGAGGATTTGGATCCCATTTGGACCCTGAAAGCAGTGCCGCAATGCCAGACCAATACTGTCCCTACAACATCCTCCACATACTCAGCCACCTGAGGCAGCCGGAGGCTCGCAGCCAACCCAGCAATAACAAAAGAGAGCTGGTCATGAGGGTCACAACAGTCTGAACAGTCAGATGAGGCCTTATCTCACATGGAGCTGAGAGATTTCTGAAACGGCTGACGGTTAATAAAAAAAGGAAAAAACAAACCGGAACTATCCTAACCGCACTGGATTGAGACTATATTTTCTTTTGAAATGCGTCTTTATGTCCTTGCATTGAATAAAGTTAAAGTGGTTTGATTTGCAGAATTGTATGGAAAATGGTTATTTTGATTGAAACACAGGGGCGCCTCCGGAAAATTGATGGGGTGGCCAGATGGGGCCAGAGAAATTTTTGGGGTGGCACACCAAATTTGTCCTTGTGGCAACTGAGAGAATTTAGAATGTGGTGAAGGTGTGGTGTATTGCATTACTCCATTCGTTTTTTTTTTAAGTGTATCCAAAACATTAACTTCAATTTTACAAACATTTCAGAAAACTACATTTGTCATTTAAAATGTTGTTCCAAATTTAACAAATTATTTTTTTGGTTAATTCTGTTGCTGTGTTCACAAACTATTGAGATTTAAAAAAAAAATTAAAATGGTGAGCGGCACAAACATGTATTTTAACTCAATTGGATTATTTCTATTCCAATTCAATTTTGTCTTTAAACAAGATCAATATATGGTTTGACTGAACATATGATTAATACTGGCTTTTCCTGGGGGGGTCGGTGCCACCCCTGGCCACCCCTTGGGGGTGCCCTTGTTGTAACACCAGGTATTTCCACAATTTTTCTTCAAAGAGAAAAAAACCAAATAAAGTAAATCAGCAACTATTACAATGTAGATTTCATTAACAGAACAGGCAAGCAATCCAAAAGAACACAGAATAAAACAATTAAATCTTTTTCTAAAGAAAATACTTGTTTTAAATCTCTCGGATGGCAGCCAAGATTGGTTTAAATTGTTAGTTTTAATCAAATGCCTCAGCAGCATCAGGAACATCAGTTTTCTCTTTAATGAAATGTCTCGTTTTTTCAGTGTTGCATAAACGCCGTGAATAGGTCAGATGCTAGAGTTCGTGTTGCATTCATGCACATTTTTATAAAGGTGCAAGATGTTCCAGTTTGTCACACTGGGTCTATCCATCTGCTTCTCCTTCCTCTTCTTCCTGCTTGATGACTAGCTTCCCTAAAATAAAAGATCAAAAAGTGTTCAAGATGCAACTATACCTGACATTATTAAAAGCATTTTTTTTTTTCTAATTTCTTAAATCTCTAAGTCGTTTTTCCAACATTTAAAGGTGTTTTCTTCTTGGCCTCCAGTTTAAAAATTGTGTGAGCTGTCAAAAGCACTTCAATAACATTTGAGGACATTTACATAGAACATCTATTTGCTTTTCCACTAACACTGTACATGCTTTACACGCGGGTCAGCATTCTCACCATCTAGTTTCTTCAGATTTGGAAGTTTTTTACAGGCTTTCTCCATCCAACCGCCAGCTGAAGCATTCTTTTCCTGCAGAGGATTTCCAACAAAAACCAGGTCCACCAACTGCGGCAGCATAGCTAGCTTCGAAAACTCTGCTACATAACATAGAAAAGACAACATCTTTCACACAGATTGCCACAATCTGAACCTAACCAACACATTATGACATTATTCAATATTTACCTACAGAATTAAAGACATTAGTATTTGGTAAAATTAAAATAATCTGTTTCAGATTTATTTGAGTTTATTAAAGTTGCATACCCCAATCTTTGACCAGATTATTAGACATGTAGAGAACCTTTAGGTTCCTCAGGTAGTGAACTCCTGAAAGTTTCTCTATCAAATTATAAGAAATCCACAACTCCACTAGCGTGTCTCCGATTGGTTCCTACAAGTACACACACATTAAAAAAATTAAGCAAGGAATTCACTTTAAGAGAATCAATAAACCACCTGAACCAAATAAAGAGGGCAATAACTAAAACCTTAGGAAACTAAAAGTTGATGTTGTTTATAATATATTATTATATATTGAGGACCAACGGAACTTTAAGACAGAGAAGAAATTCTGTCTGGCCCCAAAACAATTTCTTATCTGAATCTGGCACCCTTGAGCCCGTGAGGCTGAAACGAATACTCCCTCAGAAGAAATGTGGAATGCTGCCGTCGCTATGGCAACTCTGAGCTGTGAAGGCCGCTGAATTGTTCCAGGAGTCACTGTGCCCTCTAAACCCAACGACCTCCTCCCCCTGTCCAGACGGAGGTGACGAGCGCTGCTGCTTATCGTGGCTGCATGCACTGACGTGTGGAGAGTCCCGAACCCTACCTCCCCACCTAGTGGACACTTATGTTGTGTGATGTCTGAAATCTGTGCATTTCTGTCTGAGGTGTTTTTTTCATAGCAAAGCTGCCCTCTCTGTGGAGGGTAACTCTGAAGTGCCTTTTTTTCCTCCACCTGACTCAATCCTCATATAAACCCTCTGATCACTATTAAGGTAGCACGACTCAGGTTGCGAATGACCACAGTCACCAATTCTTGTCAGTGTCTATGCCTATGTCTGATCTCAGAATTGTGTGTACTGAAACTCAAATTTCCCTCTGGGATTAATAAAGTATCTTTGAATTGAATTGAATTGAAGTAACTCACCAGGCCAGAAAATGACTTTATATTATTCCTGCCTAAGGATAATATCTTCAAGTTCTCTGAAAGGAAATAAAATTAAACCCCAGTAAACATACAGATTTGCATATAAATAACAGGTTTGTGTGTGATTTTGCAAAAATGGTACCAATTCAGTCAAATACTCACTGAGACCATTGAAATTTGTCATTTTCTCAATGCAGTTTGTAGACAGAGACAGTTTCCTAAAGATGACAAAATAAAAGTTTTAACAAGTAAAACAACAAATATCTTTAAATATGAGAACATATAACATCAGTGAGCTGCAGCATCATGACAAGAACCTACTCGCAGTTAGTGAGTGTGGAAAGAGACGAATCCAGCTCCACAATGGGAGGAATCTGACCGTAGAGTTTAATCTCTTTAGCTTCACTTGCTTTCTCTCCTGTCTTTTTTTCCTATAAACACACGAAAACACTCATTTAAAATAATTTATAACACAAACATATGAATATTACAGTCGGTGTTGTTGACTACTCACCCATCTGCTCAACGCTTCTTTCAAAGCCATTGCTCGGATCTAAGAACATCACGGGAAATTCAGTTAAAGATGAACAACAAACAATAGCAGTTCAGCTGCCAAGCTAGCAACTGCACAATGTAAACACGCAGCTTTTCTTTACTGAAACTACATTCAACTTATCTCTTTAGTTTCCCTGGATTATGCTTCACTATTCAGATGTGACGTCGTTTGGGAAAACTAAACATTCCCTGTGCTACATATTCTGAAATGAGCTTGATTTTAGCTAATTTGCTGACAAAATTGGATAACAGCAACACCGGTGATTCGTGTGACGTAATTTATGATTACACAGCAGTTAAATATTTATTTTTTTCTTACGCCGTAACATTTATTATTAAAAAACAGACAAATAACAAAGGAAATGTACAGAAACATTACTCACTATGTTGACGAGAGGTCGGTTGCACTGGTTGCTATGGCACCGAAAGGCTACAATGTGCGCATGCGCAGAATGTTGTGAGCGAAGGGATTTATTTTTCTCCTGAACTCAAACTTTTAAACTGTTATTTTAGTTTTTCATATGCATGAATGTTAAATACCAGCTACATACTAGAAGCTGAAGTTGTTCTAGAAAAAAGGAGCAGAAACAGACACACACTTTGCAATTTTGGGGCAATTTTACAACCATAAACTGACAAAAAATACCAGGTGGCCAATAATAATAGTAAAATAAAAAAAGTATAATATTCCTGACAACAGGAGAGTTAATTTTTAAAAATTTAAAGATGATGTCACAGATCAACTGAAACTAAACCTAACCAAAATATTAATACTTGTATAAATATGATGTAAAAACATCCATTAATATTTATAAGTTTGGCAGATAAGGCTACGTGTGTTGGTAACACAAAAAATCAATAAAAACAATACAACATTTATAGAAAGTTTGTGGTCTTGTGTTTCATTTTGATGACCCCAGAACCGGTCAACACATCCTAAGCAGAGACAGGTCCTTATATTCAGGATAAAATGAGACACAATCAGAGGTTGGAGCTGTTTTGGTCAGGTCATTTAATTGGAGACTTTGTGAACTGACGTAGTCACCAACAAGAATCGGCCTTTTTTGCATTAACAAAACATCCACATACATACATGTCTCATTTACAAAAACACACACATCAGAATACACAAACATATACAAAATGTGGCCCTCTGTCTGAGATTTGGTGACAAAAACGAGCAACGGAAGGATTTTAAAGGACATCAGACCATCCAGTGTCCTGTGTGTTGAGATTACGATTAATGGATCAATGGTTAATGGACAAACCACCGAACCAGCACCAAGGTGTCAAAGTTCCAGCCACAAGCTCAGCGGTTGAACCGCCCTCATGTTTAAACGAAAAATAAGATGATATTCTGAGCAGTCAGCTCGCAGAGGCGAGGAGCGCTGCCGACACAGGAAACTGATCAAGAAGCTGCCTAACTCATGACATGAGGCCCAAAACTGACTCTGAAAAACTCCCCCTGGGGAGAAGCTAACTATAAATAGAAAATGAATTGTTAGAGAAGGGAGATCCTGGAGAGATCTCCTTCAGAGCACATCGCTTGTACTAAAGAAACCTGACGAGTGAGTCCCGGGAGAGCCGGTGGCCGAGGACTGATTTCTGACGGCGCTTGCCGATTCACCTCCGCCGTGAGGCGAATGGTATAACTGACGAGTCCGTATGGTTTGCAGCACGAGTCTTCCTACAGCAATAAGAGTTTAACCAGTGATGGGGACCTAGGTCGACAGGTTGTCTCCCCACAGAGTAAGGGTGTCCGTCAGGAGGGGCCAGGGGTCAAGCCCGCCATTTTGTACCGTGAGCCGAGGCAAACAACTTGTTTTGTTTTGTAAACAACCTAAAACAGCATATCAGGAGCGAGTCAACTCGTTAATCCTTGAAATCATCAGCAAATATAACATTTAACTCAAGATGACCACATTTAACGTGTACAAAGTCAAATGTGTGAGAGGATACAGGTGTTTGCTTGTTCTCTCACACAGGAGTGCTTTTAATACCCTTCAAAATAAAATAAACGTCACATAAAACAAGAACCTGATGACAAGGAGGTAAAAAAGCATCATTCGCTGTCATTAGAGTCTCAAATTAGAAGTTTGTTTTTAATATAAGCTTCTATTCTCTCCAAAATCCTGCTCTTTTGTTTGTTTGGACATGCTTATCACATCAGTCCTCAAAATGAAAAAAACTAAATCTTTATCCCACACACATCGTCCCACCTGCTACTCTACCACCCACATATTTATGTTCTCCACCATCAGACCCTTCACTCTTCACCATAATCTTTTCTCCGCTCAGTCTCGTCATAGCTCGTCGTGGGACACAGACCCGTCTGCTTTGAGCTTGAACTCCGCCTCTGTGATCTTTCCGTCTCCATTGCGGTCCTGGTTGGAGAACATGTTGTCGATGATGCGGTAAGGATCGAAGCCGGGAGCCAGGCGGCCCTTCCCGTTGTTCACCTGCTGCATGATGTAGTCGGTAAACTGCGGCGGCGTGACAAAAGAGAAAAACGGGGTGAATTTGGGGCACACAGACAGAGGGGTTGCAGAAAGAGGAAATGCTTGAAGTGAACACGTACCTCAGAAGGCTCCACCTGCTCGTTTTTATCTTCATCCATCTCTGAGAAGAGATATGGCGCTCCCTCATCCTTCCAGATGAACATGTATCCCTCAGGAAGTCCTTCTTCCATATCAACCAAATCAATGTCAAACACCATCTCAGCACTTCCTGGAACTTCATCGACTGCACACACAGACACACATCATCAGCAAAAGGTCCACTAAAGCCCTGCAGGCTAATGAACAGAAATATTGATCATTGCTGTCTGATTTATGCACAAAAACTGGATCAAAGGTTTATCCAGAGGCCAAGAATATCGTTTTTGTACCAAATTCTAATAAATCATCTGTAAAACGTTAAAAACTTGACTTACGGACTCCCCTCTCCCCGTAGGCCAGGTGAGGGGGAATAACCAGGTGTCGTTTTTCTCCTACACACATGTCCATCAGCCCGTCCTTCATCCCCGGGACGACCTGGTTGGCTCCCAGGACGATGTTATATGTCTTTCCATAATTGTGTCTAAAAATATATATATATAAAAGATTTTGAACTTTATTTTACCAACTGAAAAAAAATTAATCCAGACTCAAAAATGATTTGAAGGTTGAAACCAACAGAATTATTTAGAATTCCACCGATCTGTTCTGTGGGGTACCCCAAGGCTCTGTTCTGGCACTCCTGCTTTTCCTATACACCTCGGAAATTCTAACTTCCCAGTAGGAAAAATCAAATGAAAAAGGACGGCAAAAGGAATGAAGATACACAGTAGATTTAGTTCACAGTAAAGATGTTTGCTTCAGTTTAATTATCAGCTTATAAAACTACAAGGACGATGTTAAAATACAAACAGTTGAATGTTATTTATCATGATATTTATCAAATATTGTTATATATTGAGAAAAATATATATTTAATTATAAAAGAGAATTAAAATAATAAACACTCAAAAGTATCGAAAATTGGTACCGTTAAGTACCGGTATTGATTCCTAGGTACCGGGAATTAGTACCGAATCAATTCAAATGTCAAAGGTACCCATCCCTACCTATACACACACCCTACTGGACAGATAATTGATTGTTTTAATAATTTTACGACCTATATGCAGATGACACTCAGCTGTACTGCTCCTTTAAGGATTCTGAGGTCTATAAACTGTCTGAACTAACAGAGTGTCTATCAGCTATCAGCAGCTGGCTAGAAGATAATTTCCTTCAGTTAAACTCTGAAAAGACGGAATGTCTGATCATTGCCCCTGTGAGCATGGTTCCCTGATTAGGCTAAAACCTGGTGATTTATCTTCTGCGATCAAGACAAAATTGAGGAATTTGGGTGTTGTTTATGACCAATCAATGTCTCTTGAAGACCACTCCGAAACAGTTTTTATCACTTAAGAAATATCTTCAAACTACGAAGGGTGGTGTCAAAACGCAAACTTGAAATGGTTCTCCATGCCTTTATCTCCTCCCGTCTAGATTACTGTAACACACTTTTCACATGTTTTAACAAAAAAAGCCCTTGACCACCTTCAGTTGGTCCACAACTCTGCAGCGAGGCTCTTAACCTTCCCACTGTCCTAATGGGTGTGACCCCGCGAGGAAAGTTGACCATTGAGCAGGACTGATGGTTTATCCCTTGAGGTCCACGTGGCAGAGCACCACCTAACCCCTGCCACGTGGACCTCAAGAGATAAACCATCAATCCTGCCCAATGGTCAACTTTCCTTGCAGGGTCACCCATAAAGACACTGGAAGGGTTAACTGGAGCTGTCATGTTCCCGAGCCAAGGTGAGTGCTCTTCTTCCAATCTAACCGTCTCTGAGCTGATTACCCACAGGTGAGGAGCGGAGGGGGCTGCAGCTGCACAAGATTCCAATCAGGAACTCTGGTATAAAAGGAGGATGGAGACACCTCACTACGCCGGATGATTGCTCCAGTTTTGGTAGCTCCAGCCACTTGTACTAGTTACTTGATTGTTCACTTTGGAATATTTGGATTTTGAACTTGGACTGATTTTGGATTACGCTTTTGGATTGCCTTCATGTCTGGTGTTTGTTTGTCTTATCTCAGGATCTCCACACACCCTGCCTCACCCTCACCGTTTGAACTCCGGATTATCTGCACCACGTCCCATCCTCCTCTGTTGTTCCTGTCTGGACCCTCTCTGCTACCTCACCTATCCCGGAGTGCTCATCCTCTGCCCAGCGCTCACCTCGGCTTCCCCGCCTCCCTCGTTCACCACGAACACTACATGGACAAGAGCTGTACAGCTCACTCCCCACTGGACTTCCCAGTGCTACTTCTGTTCCCGTTTTCCAAATAATGTACTTTTCTTTAACTCAACCAGCTTGTCGAGTTGATTCTGCTTGTCTTGGGTTAGACACTTACCTCGAGTCATGACAGGAGCAAACAGAAGAGCTCACATCACTCCTATTCTAATGCATCTGCACTGGTTACCACTAACTTTAGGATGCTGACTATAACTGGTCAAGCCCATCCCTACATGACTGAACTGTTAAAACTGTTAGGCTCCAACCCGAGCCCTCAGGTTCACAAACCAAAGTCTTCTAGATGTTCCAAAGACCAGATAGGGAAGTTGAGATGATTGCTCTCCCCAAGCTAATGCAACTTGACTTTGGAATGATTCGCCTTCATTTTGACGTTGTACGGTCAGCCTGGACACCAGCAGCTGAATGTCCTGATATTTAAAACTGCTTTTACTTCAATCTTCTGTGTTTTCTTCATCTATATTATGGCCCATTTATGATTTAAATTAACTTTAATTTATTTCATGATATTTTGTTGTTTTTATTTTACGATGATTTTATGAGTCCACGGTTTGTTTTGCTGGTCTTTGTGATTTTTCTTTATGTGATAAGTGCTGTATAAATAAACTTCACTTACTATAAAATCTGTGCATTGTGAGCCATTTTCTTTTTAAACACCTGGTATTTTAACCAGTTGAGAGAGTGTCATTTGATACTTCCTTCCGGAGCCCCTCCCTCCTTCCTGTGACCCTCTTGTGTACCCTCCATCTCCTTGTTTGTGAATTATTATTTTACTTGTACTGCTTTGTGACTCAGAGCCAGGAAGATAACGAGCTCTTTCCAGCTATTACTTTTGGCATTGATATCTTTCAAATTTTTCGAGTTAAGCTTTTTCTGCAAAAAATTTCCCATTGAAATGAATGGGATTGGTCAATTTTCAGCAAAATTCTATCACTTTTTTGACCTAAAACTCTATTGGGTTCCTTTTAACTCAGAGACTTCATTCAAAGTTTAACAAACTCCCAAGACTTTCCTGTTTAACATATTAAAGAGACTTTTTGATATCTTTTACGGTTTTTCTAAAATCGCAGGTAGAAGTTGAGGTACGACTTGAAATTTTCAGAAAAATTCACAAAAGTTATAATGGGGAAAGATAGGAGCAGTGACCCACCCTTGCTCCATTTCCGGCATTGTCCCGAGAGAACCGTAGGTCTGATTGAAATGAGACACACGCTGGCTTACAGCTAACGAATATACCTTCGTTTTGAGCTATAATTCATGACTGTACTCCAAACATTGTGGTCGTACGGTTCATTTGTTTGAGAAAATTCAAATAAAAAAAGTCTCTCCCACTCTAACTTCAGAATTCCGCACTGTACCTTTTCAACTTCACATCTTCCGTGAACAACTCTTTACTACCCCCACACCGTTTGGACTACCAAAACAAATTATAACTCAAAAAGTAGGAATTGTCAGCTTTTCAGAATGGGTTTCATTTTATCTGTAAGTGTTACCGTTCCTTCGCTACAAGCCTCAGAAGGAGGAGAGACCCAGATTCCCGCTCATTGAAACCCATGATAAAGGAACAGAGATTTTCTCCTCAAAACGGCTTCAGACAGCTAAAGGTTTCTCATCATAGCTTCTACAAAATTCATGGTAGGCACACAAAAGTCGGCACAGATGATCATCAAAGTCTTCTGCCACTCATGCTTTTTGAATTTTTCAAATCGGTGCAGTACTTTTCGAATAGTGATGAGAAGTATGACAGGTCCAATTTCACTTCTGAAGGACAGATTTAAAGGCTTCTCTCGTTAACAGGAGCATAGGCGGAGATCCCAGGGGGGACGGGGGGGGACGCGTCCCCCCCTCACACAAAGTTGTCCCCCCCACAAAAGTTATTGTAAATGTATAAATGCTATCAGTAAACCTGTATTGTCTTCTAAAACCACAACGTAAAAGTTAGTCTGCAAATACAAAACAATGTGTTTTTAATTGTTGAGAAATTATAGTCCCCCCCCCCCCCCCCCCCCCCCCCCCCAATTCCTCAAGTTGGTACGGTTGGTCCACACGCACTGTTTCCAATGGGCGGGGCTGCCGGCTTTGCCTCGCTCACAGCTTCACAGCAGCCCGCAGGCTCACAGGAAGCGGGAATCAAAAAGCCAGCGGTTTCCAGCAGTAAGTCAATTATCTCACGCTTGTTCTACAAACTTAAATATGTATGTCAAATGTGGTCATAAATGATGCAGGAAGATGAGAGACACAGGACAGGAAAATAGTTCAATAAAAACAAAAAAACAAAACAAAGTGTTGAAAAGTAAAATGTAGGTAGATTTATCTCCACTACACACATGTAATATTTATACATTTGATACAATTCAGATCACGTTCAAAACTCAGTCACACACCCAGCGCCGTTTCAAGACATTTTGGGGGCCAAGGCAAAATGCCCCCCCCCCACACACACACACAAAATATCATACAAGAGAATTAAAGAGAATTTAAGGTGAAGTGCTTGCACATACTGTGTTATTGTGTTGTTTTTTCTGTGTGTAGAAACAAGTTCAATTTGATTGACCGTCAGAAGGTGGGAAAGTGCCCCGCTCCCACCCAGCCCCCTGATTGGTTGAGAGAGGTCAATCATCTTCTGGCTAAATGGAATTACACACCCACACATGTGAGACATCAAATCGATCGGCTAGGCCTAAGGAATCCATCCATCCATCCTTCCAACCAACCAACACACCAAACAACCAACCAACCAGCTCTATACACTTAAAACTAGCAGCATAGCTGACATTTTAACACTAGTCAAAAGGCAGGAACCGCCCACTCCTCCTTCGTTGCTCTCTCATTGGCTGAGAGTTTTCAATCGTCTTCTGCCTAAAAGGAAATGTGCACCCACACGTATGGTACATCAATTCAACCTGCTTGGTCCCAGGAGTCTTGCATTAACTTGATATTGTGTTCTGCGTGACCATGGCAACGTGCTTAGCAACAACATTTAACAACATTTTAGACACAACTGTATCAACATACTTTAATATAGAAATGTTATTCAAAGTTTAAATGAGTCATGTGTTATTGTACATAGCTTTATTAATGCAGACTTCTGTCATCTGTTACCATGACAACACAAGGAACTACAAATCACTTTAACCAAGTCTCATAGGAATGAATATAAAAAGCAGAATATTGAGCCATTAACAGGCTCCTGTTTTTGAACTGTTTGTACTTAAAACTAGAAATAAGTTAAATTTGATTGATCGTCAGAAGGTGGGAAAGTGCCCCGCTCCCTCCCAGCTCCCTTATTGGTTGAGAGAGGTCAATCATCTTCTGGCTAGATGGAATTACACACCCATGCATGTGAGACATCAAATTGATCGGCTTGGCCTAAGGAATCCATCCATCTACATAGAAAACCATACATGCTTCTATTCATCCATCCATCCAATAAACCATCTAACATCCATCCAACAATCCATCCGTTATTTCTTTCATCCAACCCTTCATCCATCCCATATCAAATCTGAACATATGTTAATCTATCAGTTTCAGATAACAGCAACTATTTCTAAATTCACAGTCCAGCCAATTGTAAAAATGTACCCGTTAAACTATTCTCATTCAAATGCCAGCTGTTTAACGTTTCAAATTTCGAGTTTTTAATAAATGTTCAAAGATTAAAATTGTCTGCTGTTTAGCATTTTGATCCATTCTTCACCTATATTCTGAGCTTCATTACGCTTGTTGGTGCTTTTTGCTTCTACATCTTTAAATACATTCAGCTCATTTTGACAGCTCTGCTTTGTTTCAGCTTCAGCTCAGCTGTTCGGCGGCTTCAGCTTACAGTTTCAGCTATTCAGCATTCAAACAGCATTTGTGCAACAAATGCAATTTTTCTACTTTTTATTTTGTTTTGATTCATTTAAATCTAGAACAGACGTCAGTGATGATATACTGCCCCCTTGAGTTTAATCTGTGTAACAAACCTGCTGCATGGAGTGATGCAAAGATTTAGTTAGCATCATAAAGATGAAGCATCCTGTTTGTGTCACCTGGACAAAGAAGGATCCCTCCAGGGCCTGGGACAGGTCGTCATGGCTGCTGAGCAGATCCAGCTGCTGTCTGGAGGTCAGCTCTCCTCTCAGCATCTTACACTTCTCAAGCTCCTCCATCTGCACACACTCACACACACAGCTAAAGCTCTGTCAGTCCACAAGCGCATCACCACCAGGAAATGAATGTGTGTGCATGGGTGAACAACTGATTGTGTTGTAAAGCACCTTGGGGGGTTCTAGGACTCTAGAAGGCGCTATATCTAATACAGATCATTTACCATTTCACCGGTTGGCCCGAAAAGATCTCTTTCCAGGTCACTTCAGGAACCAACGGAGTACCAGAATTGGGGTATGTTCTCAGAAATAGCCCAGCAGAGTTGCTGAGTGGGAGTTGTGGTTAACTTGTGCTGATTCGTTGTAACTCAGTAGGAAATGACATCGGCAGACGTCATCAGACAACTTGTAATTGTGAAGTTGGAAGAGCTGCTGGTGAAGCAGGGTGGAAGGAAACCAAAAAGTAGTGTGCACCCCCTTTTAAAATCACAGTTTCTAAACTTCCAACGGCATAATTCACGATGCTTTGTTGTCTCAACGCTTCTGGTTGTGGAATGCTGCATTTCTTATCACACTGCTGCTCTCCCGATCCTCAGAATAGATTAAATGCGTTTGACACGACACCACTTTTAACTTATAATGTGGATGCCTTTGGTGCTGCTTAGTGACATCACTCAACGTCAAAACAGTTGCAATATAAATGTCACACCCCTCCTCCACTCCAGCATAGCTGCAGCCGCAACACCTCACCTGGAAACTCTTACTCCTCTTTCCTCTAAATCACAAGCTACGTTCCTTGTGAAGGAAGAGGATGTCTGCAACATCTTTAGGAGACAGAATGTATGGAAGGCACCAGGCCCAGATGAAGTAATTCCTTCCTGCCTCAGGACCTGTGCTGTCCAACTAGCACCTGTCTTCACAATGATATTCAACAGATCGCTGGAGCTGTGTGAGGTTCCATCATGCTTCAAAAGCTCCACTATCATTCCAGTACCTAAGAAATCCTCCCCTACCGAATTGAATGACTACAGACCCGTGGCTTTCACATCAGTAGTCATGAAGTCCTTTGAGCGCTTGGTGCTGTCCCATCTTGAAAGCACCACAGGTCACCAGCTGAATTAGTGGTGTGCATCTCTACCTGCCTCACGATTCAATCCGATTCCGATTATCTGCCTAACGATTCGATTTGAGTCTGAAATGCATCACGATTCTTCCCACAAAAATTTTCATTACTTAATAAAAGCAGTAGAATAGTTTTCAATTTCTTTTTGATTTCGAAATCCCTGAAAAACAGAACATTCATCTATTCACTATAGTGAGCAATAATTTTTAAAGTGTGCTGCCTATAATTACTTACATAATATAAGAAATAATGTTTTCGGTAGAGCAGCTTTAAGATAGAATATTACTGAACTTAAAAATGGTAAACAAATACTGTGTTAAGTGATTCTTTCACATCCAGGATCCCAAAACCAAAATTAGCCCAGACATCCAATTTAAATGTAACGGGTACATCTTTGATTACTGGTAATGTTGGCCCTGTATCCCTGTCCGCCTTTTCTGTTTTAAATTGGTGCTAGGGCAACGCAGTGCGCATGTCAGTGCAACTCTGCCCCCAGAAGTAATTATAAAACCTCAAAACTTTATTGTCCTGCATAGACATAGACCAGGGGTCGGCAACCTGTTCCCATCAAAGAGCGCTGCTCACAACAGGTGACAGCAGCCAGTACCGGTCGCTCGTGTACATCAAAGTTATCTTTCATAAGAAGATAATCAATAAAACGATTTATATAAAATGGATCCAGAAGTTGTAGCCCGTCTCTGCCGACAATATTTTGATATTTTTCACCCTGTTGGTAGTTTTACTGAGCAGGTGCCACTTTTGTCATACGTTTCTTTTTAAAACATGTTTAGACTGTTCAGAATACAAATCCAGGCTCTGTCACGTCTGATTGTGTAATTAAACTTTGTAGGTGGGGAAAGTCAGAAAAGGATCCGATCATTTTGTTTTTCCCTCATTAACAGTGACGGAGATAATGGTGCAGTGGGCCTGGCTCTGGTGTAAATCAAGTTAAATTTTATCTCTTTGCAATAATTTGCAAGAAAACCGAACAGTTAAAAGCAGGGCTTGTGTTGACCGGACAGTTCCCATATTTGATCGTTTATTTTGACGGAGAAAGAATAGAAAGAACTACCCCGACGCAAGCAGACGAACTGACACTTTATTCATTTTGCACATCGCAGATGTAGCTAAATCACTCAAGAAAAGATTCCCATCTGAACATCTGAGCTGGACACTGCTCAGCGCAGCTCGCTGTCAGCGCGTACGTACGGCGCACAGCGAGCTGAAGATGTGGAGAGGGGCTTGGAGCAAGTTGCAGTACCAGAGCTCATGCAGGAAGATTCCTCCGACTGAAGCGAGACTTGTCACTTTAGAAAATGTTCCCTGATTATGAAACTTTGGCTGAATAGCGCTTGTTCCTGTCTCCAATGTGGCGACACATCCAGGAGCCGTCTGAGGAGAATCCCAGAATCTCACATCCTCGTCAGCTCAGAATGCGCCGATATAATTACGCACAAGTGTGACGCGTCAGCCCGGTCTCACAGTAAGACCGGGTTGGACCTGTTCAGGTTTACGCAGACAATCTTTACATTTAGAATTGGCTTACATATGTAAAATTTATGCAGTAAAATATAAAGCACTTTATTTAAATATCCATTCATTATTTTACAAGCACAGAGAGCCGCATCAGATGTATGGAAGAGCCGCGTGCGGCTCCAGAGCCGTGGATTGCAGACCCCCGACATAGACATAGGGAGACTATGTCACGTTGCTGCATCGATGCGGAATCATGCACGGCTGAATCGCGATGCATCTTAGAATCGATCATTTTTCCCACCTCTAAGCTGGATACCCTGCAGTTTGCCTATAGGGCAAACAGGTCAGTGGATGATGCAATCAACATGGGGCTGCACTTCATCCTGGAACATGTTGATCAACCAAGGACCTATGCAAGGATATTGTTTGTGGATTTTAGCTCTGCTTTTAACACTGTTATACCAGAAATCCTCACCACAAAGCTTTCTCAGCTCACTGTTTGCCCTGCTATGTGTCAGTGGATTTCCAGCTTCCTGACACATAGGAGCCAGCATATGCGGTTGAACAATGTTACATCTGGCACAAGGCTGATCAGCACCGGTACACCACAGGGGTGCGTCCTTTCTCCACTGCTCTTTTCATTGTACACCAATGACAGCTCCTCTAAGGACACAGCTGTAAAAATCCTGAAATTTGCAGATGACACCACTGTCATTGGAATCATCCGGGATGGTGATGAGTCTGCTTATCAGCGAGAAGTTGAGAGGCTGGTGGTCTGGTGTAGTCAGCACAATCTTGAGCTTAACACCCTTGAGACTGTGGAGATGGTCGTGGATTTTAGGAAGCTTCCCACAGTGCTGTCCCCCCTCACAATATCCAACAGCCCAGTGTCAATGGTGGACTCATTCAAGTTCTTGGGAACTATCATTTCCAGGGATCTGAAGTGGGAAACAAACATCAACTCCATCCTCAAAAAGGCTCAGCAGAGGATGTATTTCTTACGGCAACTAAGGAAGTACGGCCTACCACAAGAGCTGCTGATCATCTTCTATACTGCTGCAGTCGAATCCATACTTTGCTCATCCATCACTGTCTGGTTTGGGTCAGCCACAAAAATGGACAAATGCAGACTACAGCGTATTATTAAAACAGCAGGAAAAATCATTGGTGCCCAACTGCCCTCTGTCCAGGAACTGTACATCAGCAGGACCAGGAAAAAGGCAGTGAATATTGTCCAAGATGCCACATATCCTGCATCTACTCTCTTCCATCTCCTCCCATCTGGCAGACGCTATAGATCGCTGTACACAAAAACTACCAGCCACAAGAACAGTTTCTTTCCTTCAGCCATTTCTCTCCTGAATCTGTAGATTATTTTACCATCCTTTTACTATAGTTTTTTATACTTATTCAGTATGCTTGTGTGTGTGTGTGTGTGTGTGTGTGTGTGTGTGTGTGTGTGTGTGTGTGTGTGTGTGTGTGTGTGTATGCATATATGTATATATGTGTGTGTGTAAATGTACATGTGTGTGGGTATACATGTTCTTATGTGTTTTTTTATGTATTTTTATTCCCATTTATTGTAGTTGTCGTATGTTTTAGAGAGCGAACATCTACCGAAGCTAAATTCCTTGTAAATGTAATTTTACTTGGCCAATAAATCTGAAATCTGAATATGATGACGTTAAAGCAACGTCCTGACATCTGAGAGGACTGAGACCACTCATCTCCCTGTCACTTTTCACTTTGTATACTTATGGGTATTTTTAGGAAGAAGTAATACATGAATAAAAAATAAACAAACAAATAATTGAATTGAATTATACTACAAAATAACACATGGTTTATTTTTCCTCAAAATAATCTATGTATGGTTATACTCACCCTGATTAGTGTGCAATACAAATGACATAATTTAGTAGAATCAGATATTCTGTTTAAATTGGTTTGTAGTTATGAAGTTATAAATAACACATTTAGATGGTAACCATGTTGGAGACTGATAACAGATGAATGAAGAAGCAGCTGGAGGTCTGTCTGAATTTATGAGTGATGAGACTCACCTGATCTCAATGAGGGCAACAGCAGCCTGTCCTGGCTGGTTATCATAGAGCTTTACTCTGTAGCCTCCACTAATAAACACCATAGCCCAGGAGCGGCCGATCAGCCCACTGCAGCACAGAAAGCATAGTTTTAACTCATGTCTGCTTGCATAGCAGCAGGGGGCAGAAATTATGCAAAGCTCTTGTGTTTTCTTTAAGGTTAAGTTCG